ACCTTGCATTGTCTCTATTACTGCTTGTGATAAATTTCTGCAGAAAATTGAAACTTAGTGTTTTGCTTCGGGTAGGGAGGTGATGTACTCCTATGCCTCCATCTTGTACCTTTGCATATACATAGCTTTGGTGTTTCCAATATTTTCCTTGCCATATAAATTTAACCATTAGTTTCTGCATCTTATCCAGAAAGGCAGGGGGAGGGGGAAGGATTGTGAGTGTATGGATCAACTTGGCGCCAATAAGTTGGTTCAGACTATTCCTGTCTGGATAGGATGTAGCATGTGGGACCTTTTCCCACTGAGTTAATATTGCCTGGGTTTTTGTTTCAAGTTGCGTCCAGTTCTGGTTGTGCCAGTCTGCAGTGTTCCCTAGATAGATGCCTAGATACTTCGTTCCTTGGGTACTCCATTGGAGTCCCAGCGGACTATCCGTCCTGGTTCTCCAACGGCCGACAAATAGACCAGTGGATTTATGTATATTGAGCATTGCTCCTGAAAGTGCGCCATATATCATGAAGTTTTTAACCAGTTGTTGGAAGCCTTCTTCTTTGGTGATGAATACGGTTACGTCATCCGCGTATGCACTGGTTACGAGTGAGTTGCTGTCTTCTGATGGCAGTGGAAGTCCATATTCCTTGAGGTTCTTATTGCACATTAGTAGAAAAGGTTCTATTGTGAGTGTGAATAGGGGCCCGGAGAGTGGATCTCCTTGCCTTACTCCTCTTTGATATTGGAATGGCCTTATAAGCGTCCCATTTAATTTTATTAGTCCTTGGGTGTTGTTATATATCGTTTTGATGTTCTTAATGAAGGTTGTACCAAATCCATATTTATTTAGTACCCGGAAGATGTATTGGTGTTCCACTTGGTCAAAAGCCGATGCCTGATCTAGCGATATAATTGCTAGAGGTAGGTCCCTCTGATTTGCATATTCTATGGCATCTCTAATGAGATGCAAGTTTGTATGTATCGTTTTTTTTGGGACACAGTAACTCTGGTCGGTGGTGATAAGGGTCGGAAGCACTTCTGTTATCCTGTTTGCTAAACATCGAGTAATCAGTTTATAGTCTGTATTTTGCAGCGTGATTGGTCTCCAATTAGCAAGGAGTGTAGGGTTACCTTTCTTTGGTACTAAGGTGATCATGCCTTGATACATTGAAGTGGGCAATTTTTCTTGTTTCATTCCGTTGTTCGCTACTCTCAGCAGTAGGGGTCCTATTTGTTTCCAGAATTTTTTGTAAAATTCGTATGTTAGTCCATCTAATCCAGGTGCTCTCCCTGTGTTTGTGTTATTAAGGGCTGTAGTTAGTTCCGTTAAGGTGAATTGGGCATCGCATTTTTGTTTTTCTTCCTTGTTTAACTCCGGCAGCCTGTTGTAGACGTCATCGTTTATATTGGGGTTGTTTCCTTTTTTCCTGTAGAGCTCTTCGTAGTATCTCCTTACTTCTGTACGTATTTTGTTGGCTTCTGTCTCTAGCTTTCCATTTATTTCAAGCGTGTGTATCCGAGGTCGCGCACTGTGACCATCTTTAGAAGGAAATATTGGGAGGCATGAGTTTTTTTCCTTTTGGTTTAGAGTGTATTCGTGTAATATATTTTGTTTTGCATCATGTTGAAACTTTCGTTTTAAGGTTGTGCCTACAGTATGGAGGACATGCTCTTCTGTTTCATTAAGTTGCGTTTTACTTGTTAGATAGTCTATTTGTTGCTCTATTTGTATATATTGTTGGTTTCGACGTTGTCTTTTGTTTTCTTCATATCTTTGTGCTTGTAGCTTTAGTTCCCGTTTCATCTCGTCCCATGCTTCATTCAATTCTCCTTCCTCATTAGCTAATGTAGAATAGTATTGTATAATTGCGGTCATATATTCTGTAAAGGATTTGTCATTGAGGAGGTTGTTTTTGATTTTCCATATATCAGACCGATGGTTTTCTCTATGTGGGAGTATGTTTAGGACTAGTCCTGCATGGTCTATAAAGTATGGGCAGATCCGAATGGAGTTGGTTTGTTGGAGCCAGTTTTTTTTTATATATATTCTATCTAGTCTTGATTTTGGGGATGTTATCTGATTTCCTTGGAATGTAAATTGTTTGTTCTCTGGATGATACGTTCTCCAGACATCTATCATTCCATGTGTATTTATTAAGTTATAGAGTTGTTTGGCTAGTATTGTTCTTTTCTCAATGTGGTTTTTCCTGTCAGTTTCTTCCAATGTGACGTTCCAGTCCCCTCCCATTAGTATTTTCCTGTTCAGCGGGATTGTTTCCATATGCTTCTTCAGCGCCTCATACACTGTTATTGCACTTTTGTTATTTATGGGCATATATATATTAATTATCTGGATTTCCGTATCATATATAGTGAGGTGGCATGTCTGCAGGTATCCTGTTACTAAGGCTTGGTGCGAATGGATTTTCGTATGGGGTTGTAAGTCTTTATGTAAGGCAATTGCTGTACCTGACCCCATCTGTGTGGCTATATTTTGTATTGTAATATATTGGGGCAATCCCGGCAGTTCTGATGTCTCGGAGAGGTTTGTTTCTTGTAGGAGTAGGATTTGCGCTTTTTGTCTCTTAGCGTATAGGGCTAGTTGTTCCTGTTTGACTCCCCCTTTGATTCCACGCGTGTTTAACGTTAGTATGTTTACCATCAGGTACTGAGTATATAGAAACAAGCACACCACCAACAAGAGTTCCTTCTTTAAGTATTTATTTGTCTCTAGTTTCACTTTACTGTTTGAGGCCTTCAAGTATGCGTTTCATTCTTCGTCTGAGATTGTAGTCTTTTGTGGTAAACAAGTTTTCTTCTAGCATATCGATCAGTCCCGTGATGTTTGTAGTGTGATCCTTTGCTATGGTTTTAGGTTCTTTTTGCCCTCTGCAGGCCTTGAGGAAATGAGATAATGTGGTAGTTGATATTGGATTCTTCTCGTTCCCTTTTAGACTCTCACAGAGTCTGTCTATTGCTTTATGGTCAGCAGTCATTATTTTGTGTCGTTTTGCTTGTTGAGAGTTGCTTATAGGTTCTTCCTGTGAGTTTCCGGGATCGTTCGATGATAAGGATTCTGCGTCGCTATTTTCCTGTCCTTCCATCTGTTCTGCTTGTTCTTCTTTTGTTGCATCCAACTGTTGTTGTTTTTCCTTTTGTTGTGTTAGTTTTGTTTCAGTCATATGTGTGCTTAAGTTGGGGTTTAGTGTGTTGACATTTATTGTTGTAGGAGAGGGGTGGGGGTTGTTAGTGCTCACCTCTACTTGACAGTTTTCTGTATGTGTTCCCTCTCTGTTTTTTTGTTCCTGTGGATTTTCTTTGTTTACGTTTAGGGTGGTTATGTCCTTTGTGTCTGACTTCGGTGTTGTTATCACTTTTGTGGTGGCTGTTGGGCGAAGTCTTTGCCTATGCTGTGTGAGGACTGGGAAGTGTGTTGTGGTCTGCTCTATGGTTTCTTGTTTCTCCCCGGCTGAAGTGGACGGTGCAGTTGGTTCGTCTGTCCGTTGGGTTGTATGCGTTTTTCTTCTTCCCGCTGCCAGGTCTGCAAAAGTTATGGGGCCCAACCTTTCTTGTGCTGTTGTGTGGCAATTCCTTGCCAGATGCCCTGGCTTTTGACAGTTTGTACATGTGACATCATCGCTAGTGACATAGATGACATACGCTACTCCGTCATATCGAATGTTAAGGGTGCTCGGCATTTTTTCCATGTTCGGTATTATCATATACACCAGTCGTCTAAATGATTTAATGTGTTTCAAGTCAGGGTGTGTTGTAGAGATTGGAAGCTGTGTGATTTGGGACGTAGGTTTTCCAAACGTTTGTAATAATGGTTGTATGACGTCATCTGGGATATCCGGTAGTACATTACTTAGCACTACGCGTTTTGATGCCATAATATATGGCCTGCACTGGATAAAGTTGTCTCCAATGTTTATTCCCCCAGGGGTACATATCTGTTTTACATACGTTTCTGCAGCGAGATATATACAAATTCTTCCCCCACCCAATCTGGATGCATACTTAATATTGCTTCCCCCAATTTTATCTGCTATTTCTCTTAAGTACTGTTCAATGGAGAGGCCCTCCACTGCTTCAAAGATAACCCCATGTTTTTTGTTTGGGGTATATTGGTTTTGGTTTGGTTCTGCCGTGTTGTGGGTGGGGTTTTCACACTGAGAGGGGGGGCGGCTGCTAGTCTTTGTTGTGGTAGTTTTTTTTTTGTAATTATTACCTGGCAATTGTTGTTCATGTTTGTCCAGAGCTGCTCTGCTTTCCTCAGTGGTGTTGTTATGGTGTTGACTGGTTGTTTGTCCATTCAGCGTTTGGCTTGGCATGTTGTTATTATTTTTTGTTGTTGTAGTGCTGTTGTTTTGATTGCTGTTGTTATTGTTGTTGTGATGGGCGCTGCTGTCCTCATTTTGAGGGCTACTGTCCACGGTACATTCCACATCCATTTCCGTATCTGATTCGTTGTTCTTTTGTTTTTGGGCAGTTTGCTCTTCCTTCATCATAGTAGTTGTGGGTTTTTTTTTGTGCTATGGGGTGTGGTTCACTGCACCACTATTACCCACACTTACCGCTGACTGTTGCACTTTTTGTAAACACGCACTTCTAAGCACGGCGTATCTAACTCTGTATCACTTGTAGTACACTTTCCACTGTATACACTGCTGTCACGGAGCGACTCACTAAACACGTCCGCTCCGCTCGGCGTCGATAGATGGATGGATGGATGGATGGATGGATGGATGGATGGATGGATGGATGGATGGAAATTCTTGTCATCTGACGATATGTGATAATACCATTAATTTTAAAACCCAACGGGGCACTTATTAACAGAATTGCCAAGTAATTTTTCGTCGTTGATACAAATTCCGGTAGAACTTGTTAAATTTCTTTGACGTCAATACACTTATGACGGCTCTGAATATTAAAATCAATGTTTCTTTGTTTTAAATTATAATATTTCCTCTATTGCACTACGTTATGTTTACTCAAAATATGTCTAAGTTCCAACAGAAGGAACTTACGGAATACGAGAATGTCTGGCTCGGCTCTCATACAAATAGCCCTGTAAAACGGATACAAAAACATGTCACGTGTAAACAAATCACGCATATATCCCAGTATTGGTTCTTGCCGCATTCAGATTTGGAGCAGACTGTGACCGAGAACTTTAGTGGATTTCTCATTTCTTCCAGAAAACAACTATGATGCGTCTTTCTCAACTGGGCCCTAAACTCCTCATGGTACAACTCTCCCACTTCATCTTTTATAATTAGTATAACAATTAATTTTACATCACATAAGATCTAAAACTGATACTAAGTAAAAAATGAAGTTATTTCTGTTTTTAATTAATTAAGCACCGCATCATGAAGGCTTGTAAAGGAGTGGCGATATAGCTCCACTCCTCAGCACTAGGCGTAGGCAAGTGGTCAGATTCACGTCCCTGCCGATTGAATTAAATAGGAGGCTGGGTGGGCCGTGGAACCGATCTGGACGCTGTGGAGAAGAGAAAACCCTTTCCCCTGCCAGAATGGAACTCCAGCCATGTAGTCCCTGGCTATTACCGACTGAGCTATCTCGTCTCTTTGATATTAGGTCAATAAACAAACTACAGCTTACTTGTCAGTTCTGTTGAGTTCTCACGATGGTGTACAACTCTCGAGATTATTGAGTTTGGACTCTGTCCATTTTCTAGTATTCTGCCAGAACACAGCATCTGAGAAAATGTTTTTTTTTTCAATCCTCAGGTGATAGAGTTGGAGCCCCTACACTGCGGGATCCTTTAGATAGATCTAACCTCAGTCGGTGGGGTAAGTGATTTATGTTAGCTATTTCTTACGGACCCAACAGAATAGGTGTCTCCCGAAACGTTTTGTTCTTTAGAATACCGGACGATGGACAAAGCCCAGAAACTCAGCAATATCACAGTCTACTAATTGACAGAATAGTTACCTCTCCCTTATGAACTTCAGACTGAATAAAGAAATTAGCTAGAAACTTATTCCCTATGCACTGCTCACTCACATGGTCTCCTACATTTGATATTCGTGAACGAACGAACTCCGTGGTTTTAGTCCGACCGAGAGACCGTCATTTGTCGGCGAAGTTAGTGCCAACTTTTGCGGATAGGGGTGTCGCGTGGTCAGCACAAAGAATCCCCGCGGCTGTTAATTTCGGCTTTCTAGATGCTTTACTTAAAACTTAAATATTTCACTAGAAATGAGTTTTGACAATTTAATTGTGTTGAACTCTCCAGATTAAAGCCAATAATCTTTACGCAGCAACTTCGTTTTAAAGGAGTGTGATCTAGATTTTGTACAATATTAAGCAGTCGAGACTAATGTTCTATCTTTCACCTGCATAGTTGAAATTATACTGTCGTGTCTTAAATATCGGCACCCTAACAAACTGCTATGTGTGATATGAACCTGCACATATGAAGTTCTGTTCTGCTGCTGCATATGAAGCCACTATTCTTCCGCACTTAATGCATCCCTCGTCGTCTTACAATCATCAATTTTATAACAAAATAATAAAATTAGAAAGAAGAAGCAGAACTTCAGCGGCCAGGCGATGGCTATTTTTCTGAACACTGAATTTATGTTGTTATTGTGGAAACCGAGTGTTCATAACTACCTTCGCAAAAGTCTAGCACTGATCTTATTCTGAAGGAGTTGCACGTAATTTTCAAACCCGTATCTTCTTTGTCAGGGAGCCATTTCCGTATTAGGTCCTATAAATTTCTAAATCGTCGAAAGGACAAATTCTGGGTTATCCAACCGAAATATGAACGTGTTTCTTTTTTATTTCTCCCAGCTGGTCACAGTGGCCGCGCGGTCTGAGGCATGAAGTGTCTTCGCTCGCTCGGACACTGGGATTGTGGGTTCGAATCCCCCTCAGGGAATGGATGTTTGGTGTGTGTATGTGTATATTCTGTGTTTGTGTTCTTCTGTGTGTAGGTAGCGGTCTTGCGACGGGTTGATCCCCCGTCTAAGGGGTCGTTACGTCTGTAAAAAGTGATTACAGAACTGAATAAGAGGCCTGGGCCCTGATTGGGCTGGAAGAACCATTGAAAAATGTCTTATCCTTCTCAACGGGCGCAACAACTACAATTATCTTCTATACATTTTAATCTTCAGTGTACATAAATATGACGGCAAATTAAGATATCAGTGTGAATTATAAAAAGATAGTCGAGAATTTGTAGTCTACAAATCTCATTTTAGACATAATATCTATTTGATTCATTAATTTTTATGAAATATTTTTTAATATTTTGTGAGCCTGATAGCTCAGTCGTTGTAGTGAGTAGGCTAAGGCAGAAGAACCGGAAATTCAAAATTTAGTTTCTGACACGGGGCCTCTCTTAACCGCCACATTCAGTTCGTCTGCGGGGCGCACCGAACTTATCCTCTGGTTACGACAGATTCTTTCTCTCGTGGTAAAGCAATCATGCTTTTAACTAAGCACCTCCATCTAGAAACTAAGGATAAGAAAAGCCGGAATTATGCTTCTACTCCTCTTTACGACATTCCCGGCTTGGCGCTTCATTACGTACAAAACGTTCACGTGTGCTTTACAGAACATCCCGATGAACTGTGAGAGTTAACAGCAATTCACACAATTAGATACACTTACTGGTATCTAGTAGGATCCAAAAGTATCTAGCAGTGACACTTATGTCGATATTACCTAACTTTTCTGGATGTCTGCTTAATTATAATTACTATCAACTGAATAGATGACCGCCTCTGTGGTCTAGTGGTCAGAATTCCTGGCTACAGATCCATAGGTCCAAGGTTCTATTCCCGGCATCTAGAACGGGTTCCACTCAGCCTCCTGAAGATAACTGAGGAGCTATGTCGAGCAAATAGCGGCTCCGGTCTAGAAAATCGGGATTAACGGCTGTGGGGAACCGTCGCGCTGTCCACGTGACACATTTATCCGAAAAAGTTGGCACTAACTTCGCCGACAAGCGGCGATCGCTCAGCCGGTAGAGTTCGTTTGTGGACTACTGGCCACGGAGTTTCTTTGTTTTGTTTTATCAACTAAATAGATGGATTAGAATATATGTGAACTGGAAAGAGGCTCAAACCACGTACTTCCAGAATAGAATCAATCAACTTTACTCATTGAATTAACCTGCTAATTTTATAATGTTAAGAATCTATACGTAATAACATGGTCAAAATTGCATGAAGACTGTTCATATACTTTCAGGTTTACAGGAGAATGACACACGTCCAGATCGACATGCCTATTTAAGCACCGGTTTAACTGTTCCTTCTTGTCTAGAATTTCATTTACTCATTTTCGGGTGATGTTTTATATATATTTGAATTTCAAATATAACGCATTTATGAAAATAACAAAGCAGGTAGCTAGTAAAATGTAATCAAATATTACTTTAAACATCATCTGTGCAGCAGAATATCTATGTTGGCGCTATGTGGCATGTAAGCCTGATTTATTCTTTTATCAAAAAGATTTTTTGGAAGACAAAGAGAATTGGAAATGCCACCCTGCAATATGTACTCTACACGTATCAAGTGGATGCACGAATCGGTTTTTGTACCGTAACATTCCCTCTCTCAACACTACGTCATCGAGTATTTCAATTATGTAGCGTAGCTGGTGTGAGTTTGCCGTTCCGAGTTTTTAATCGAAAACCGAATGAACTTGGAACGCAAAATAATAGCAGAACGCGTAGTTTATTGAATTAAGTTTGCTTCATGAACGAACGATTTCCAAAATTAAAAGCATTATAGGTTCATAGACTGCACGTATATTTACATCGATTTAGAAAACTATTAGCATTTGTAATTATTTTTCTCCTTCACGTATTATTTATTGATGGTTTTAGAATTTATTGAGATTATAGGGTATCTACTTTTATCGGAATTACGCAAAGTGAATCAGGATGAGCGTGAAGGGACGCGAAAACATGAAACTAAATACGCGAACACATCTGAAGATAATGAAGACTCAAAGCTCATAGCCAGTTTCACATTTTGACTGACTTATTAGATATTTGTATAATTAATTAAAGGTAAACAAATTTTGAAACTTATGAATACATACGTATAATCTACATAAGCCATAATGTTTATTTTTCTATAAGACAGCAATGAAAGAAATTTATAGGTTATTTGTTACACTCATATTTTTAAAATTACCCAGAAAATATTAGAATAATTTTCTTAAATTTACCTGACCTGAAGTTAACAGAGTTCCTGTTATATGCAGTCACAGGAGTAAGACACAACACAAAGCACAATACATATGAAACTAGGAAGAATACTCCGACAGAAGAAGATAGGTGTGACTCGCGTACTGAAATACGACATAAGGATGACAAATCCTGAACACTTTTAACATTTTTAATATTTAAAATTTAGCTATATATATGACGAATATATATTTTAGTTATTTTAGTATAAAGACAACAGGGCATGCAATGCAGTAGTTCGACGTACATCGAAAAGCACCTGAAGATGGCACTTTAGTGCCGAAACATGTAGTGCAACAGAGAAGAGTAAGGTGAATAAATGTATGCACTGTAAGACGGTCAGAATAAATCATGGACATAAATCAGTGCGACAGGACGCTAAAATATAACCTCATTAAACTATGTAAGAGCTTTCTATTTCACACCCAATTAATCTGATTTTTCTGTTCTGAAGTAATTTGCCCTCTCA